TTACAAGAAAAAATAAGTTTGTTATATAGATGTCTTATAATTTTTTAAAATTTTCCCTTTTTTTTGGACATTTGAGAAAATTAAAGCAAACTTGTAAATATATCACATACATAAAAATAAATCTTAAGACATGCAATCCATTTGGGGCATCTATAATTTTTTATAAAAATAGTTGTAAAACTACAATGGAGAAAGTTTTTTTTTTTTTAAAGCAGTTGTAAAAAGCAGCTTTCTAGTATAAAAATTCCTTAAAACAATAAAAATTAGTAATCAAACATAAATTGTAGTCACAACAAAAAAAATCGAAACAATAAGAAAGATGTCCCAAATAAATGAGTTGCATTTTTTTCTAAGAACTTATATATACTATTGAACATTAATTAATTTCTAAAATAATAACTATTCATAATTATTTAAAATTAAAAATAAAGTCTTTTGAAAAAATATATGGGATGTAATTTTAAAAAGATTGCACCTTAGATATCAGAGGTCTATTTAATTTATTTGTTTTGTTCTGAAAATAAAAAAATTAATTTAATTTTAAAAGTGTAAACTATTTCACATTCAAAATAAAACAAATAACAAATCGATCCTTGTTAATTATTAAATATTTTAAGCGCTTTTCAAATAAGAATTGCCGAGATTTTATAGGACCATTCTATCAATATAATTTTTCAATAAATGAAGCAGAATAATAGAAGTAAACTTAATAGGATTATAAACCCAAAAGTTAAAATCATCAGTGATGGTTCAATCAGCCTTCTTAGGCTTCATTTGGAATGACTTTCTTACCGCTTCTTAAAGCGGCTTTTTAGTACATAATTTTAAATTTTTGTACTAAGAAGCTGCTTTAAGAAGCAATAAGAAAGCCATCCCAAACGAAGCCTTACTTGGGCCAAAAAAGTTTTCAAAGCACCTTTAACTCCTTCACAGTCTATTTACAAGTCTCACAAGAACAAAATACAACAAACTCACAACCATGGTGGCATTATCTACTGAATCTTATTGATGTGAACAACCATTAATACTCCTTCCTGAGCTTCCAACATCTCAAAAATATGAACATAACCTACATTCAACTGGTTATATTGAGCAAATTCCTTCCATCCAGAAGAAAAACCAATTGAATTCCCCTGAACAAGACAATGAACAGGCCAAGTTCTCTCCTTGTCATCTAGTTGCAGAAGAACTATGCAACTTATTCGTGGAAGATATTGAATGGCAAAAGCTATGGGAATGGTCTGCAAAGGTAATATAAAAGCAGATGTAAGTATTTACAATGATATCTGAGGGGAAGAACTAATTAAAACAATTTGGATTCATCTCCAGAAGCTGTGATTGAGATTTTAGTTGATTGGAAAGGTTCACCAAGAGGTAATATGAGGTCTTTTTTTTCTCCTTATTTCCTTTTATATTTTCGTGCAAAGCTCCATCTATAAATCCTTTTTGATTACTTGAATTAACTGTAGAGAGAAAGAAGAAAAACATTCAAAGGATATGGGAGTTCAGGCGAAGCAGGAGAAGAGGATGAGGCTCAGGTGAGTGTTGCTATAGGGAAGAAATCAAGAGTTACCTCTGTAAAGAAGCTCGAGCACAAAGAAAGAAAACATAAATTATTCTGTGCGGACACCGTCCAGAGGACAATCAGATGCAGCCACATTATCCAATATCGAGTCGCGGTACCAAATAGGGGTGATGTGGCGCATTTTCATTGGGCTGGACAGCATTCAGTGCCCGCACCTTATAGTTTCACGAAAGAAAGAGGAGTAACAAGAAGTTCTCAAGTAGCTCTTGAATAACTCAAAATAATAAAACCATTCGAAAGCCTGTTTGCTGATGAGCGGTAAGAATTGGTGGCATGATTTCTTCTGATCCATGGTAATAGCAAGGATGTTTATCTCTCTTCCTCTATCTTCAACAAAGTGATTAGATGAACTAATCCCTTAATGTATGAAGTTTCAGTTGAGAAAGCTTTCAGATCAAAACTTGGATAACAAAAAAATCAAAATCAACAACTAAGATGACAAGACATTCAGGGTTTTACAAGATGCATAGAGAAAACTCTTCCATAGAAGGCTCCATCAACACCTGAAAGGGCTAAAGCCACAACTTGTTCAAAAAGAAGAGTGTGAGTTGATGGAAAAATAAGACAAAAGAGTCATCGGACTAGCCATCAACATGAACGTCAAATTCCAAAAAACAAAAACATATATTGTACATAAGATCATACATAGATCCATTTTTCATAAAATTTATGTATTGCAATGGTTGCACAGATTATTGGTTGGATATTTGTAGTGGTTAGGATGCATTTTAAGCTTTGTTTTATCAAACTGGTATTTATAAATATCAACTAGAGAAGCTGGTAATGTATTAAATTTAATCAAATCTCATTTTCACAGTACTCAGCCTTGGAGAGATTCTCCACATCTCAAAGCTATAGAATTTTACTTGAAATTTTCATTTGTGAGCTATGTAAATTTGATATTTTTTCTGTGCAATGTACTAAAATATTGATGTTTGATGGAAGAATCGCTCAGAAATTAAAATAATATCCATAGATAAAATGTGTTCTTACCAGATAAAATCTTTTGCTGATACAGCTGGGCACCATGATTGACATAAATGTAGGCCTATCTGTTTGAATAGTTTCAGCTAGATGGAGCACTATATTCTTTTTAGCATCAGTAAGTCGAGCTTTTTTTGAAATGATGAAATCCTTGGGATTACACTGCTTAGCTAAAGAAACTTCATTGCTGAGGTTCATGGTCCCTTCTACGATCTCACTTTCTTGTTCTAAATAATCAAATGATCCAGTTAATAAAACTAGAAAATCAAAACCATTTTCCTTTAAAATTGATTTAAAAATAAATAAACAGAAGTTAGCTAAATTAAGGCTTCGTTTTGGACAACTTTCTTAATGCTTCTTAAAACAGCTTTCTAGTACAAAAGTTAAAATTTTTAAACTTGAAAGTTGTTTTAAGAAGCAGTAAAAAAATAGTCCCAAATGAAGCCTACATAATATATTTGAGTATTAGGCTCCTCTGAATGCTCACGAGAAAAAAAAAAGGAGAAGAAAAGAAAAAAATAGGGGGTTGACGATTAAAGATGCTCAGTTACCCTTTCCTTTGCTTCACTTTCAGAGAAGAATACAACTAAAAAAAACTGATAATCAAAATATGATAACTAAAGGAAGTACTAAGGAGTTCAAATACAACAAAGGTGCTAATGAGTATGGCATTCATGTGTTCTTTCCTAAGGAAATTTCAAAGAAAACCAAAGGTACAGTTTAAGGATTTCTTTACCCATGTACTAGTGAAGTGCTTCTTCTGTCTAAGAATTCTTTTTGTACTCGTTGTATTCATTCTCCTCTTGAGATGCTTCTCTTTTGCATCTCTGTTTTCTCTCAAGATCTTCTGAAACATAGCTAATTGTTTTGGTTGCTCAGAAGTTATAGGAGAGCTTTCATAGCAGGAATGTCCGTCCTTTTTACCAGAAGCTATAACACATGATTCTTCCATACCATCCTTTCTCATTGCACAATGAGAAGCAACTTTCTCACAGCCTTTTTGCTCAAACATCAACACAATAAAGGAAGAACGACCATCATACTTGAACACCAAAGTGCCATTTTTTATAATACCATAAACTGCAACAAAATCCAACCACAATCAAGAACAACTCCATCACCAGTCTTCTTCAATTAAACATGCCATTTATCACCACTTGGGACTTTCAGCTCTATAGTTTCAAGAAGTTCACCCTTAAAGTGGTCTATAAACTTCTTTGGTAAGACCTGGAGCATGATAAAGCACATAAGAAATGACATCATGAGAGTAGAAATCAGCGCATTGAAAAGTAAATATAGCCGTAGTATGTTATCGTTCAAAATTACAAAATTTAATTGGATCTACATTCTCCCAAGGTACCCTTTATTATGGTGTCTGATTTTTCAACAACATAAAATTGTAATTAGTTAGTAATATATAAACTGTTATTAATATCTAAACCATTATTGCAATTAGTATCTAATAAGGATGGTTAGTTGCTTGGATATTCTATAAATATCTCTTGTGAAGAGAAGATGAGGATATGAAATGGAATTGAGTTCTTTCCCTAGCATCAATCCTCTTTTCTTCTTTCTTCAGGAGTGTTGAACAATTCCAAATATTCAATCAAGTTCAAGGATCCAAACATAGGTGCTCTAGTTAAGAATGTCTTCATCCACTGTCACCAATTCCAAACATCTCAAACCATGAATCCATCCTGCATCACTCATCATGCGACATCTACCATTCTTCTTCACCATAACTACTAGATCCACACTCACACCACCTTCCAACAACCCCGCACTCGTATCTTCACCTTACGTCAACCCCACAGTCACATTTATGCTGTAAGTCGACTCCACAGTCACATCCATGCCATCCTATTCAAGAAATCGCAAGTCTCACATTTCTTTAGCACCGTTAGCTGCTCCTTTGAGCAAATTACATATCTCTGTCAAGGATCATGCCTTTGCTTTTGTCAACTATTGAAGGTAAACCTCCAATCTCTACTCAAATCATTTCCACTTCCATATCCATGTCCCAGGCACCTTTCATGTAGTAGATTTATTGCCAACACTACAAATTTCCACAACTCCAATTGATAGTGCCTTCAATCTGCCCAAAACTATGATGCACAGACATGGACACGGCGACACAGAAATGGCACGACACGAACACGAGATGTCAATTATTGAAAATAAGACACAGACACGAGTTTGACACAGTATTATATTTTTAATATTTTAAAAAGTGTATAAATATTGAATAAGTATATTTTTAAAAATAATTTAAAAATAATAAGTCATTTAACTTGAATTTTGTGCTTAAAATGATTAATATTAGGATGTTGAGAGTCAAGCATTGATGTCATTTATCAATCATCAAGAGAGATGACAATGTTGTCAAGAGTTAGGTGTTGATGTTATGCAGTAAATAATGGGCATCAATGTTAAGAGGGCATTTATTGTCGATGTTGAGATGGCGTTGGTCATCCATATTGAGAAGGCATTGGACAAAGATGAGATGTCCAGTTGTGGGTGTAGAAATTGCTAGCATTGAGCATCAATGTAAAGATGACATCAGAATTTGATATGGAGATCGTTCAAAAATGTAGATGTCGTAACGACATTAGACGCGATGTTGAGATGACATCAAGCATTGTTGTGAAATTAAAGTTGTAATCCGCCAAAGAGAAATGAGATTGAGAATATTCGATGAATGAGATATTAAGTGCAGACGATTGATTTTGTGTTATGGATAGGAAATAAGATATTTAGCTTTTTATATTTTAAGTAAAAATTTTAAATCCAAGAAATTATATTTAAAAATTTATTAAATATTTAAGATGCGCATGTTAGACATACATGTCCAATTTATATTTAATATTTTTTTTTGATTGGACGCATTTTCTACATGTCCGACATGTGTCGGAGTGTCGGATGCATGTCCCATCGGAAACATGTCGAACAATTCACGCCTCTTTGAGGAAAAGTGTCGGTGCATCACAGGCCCAAAACCCACCCAAAGCATGGCCCCACATCCTCCATGAATCCATCAGTCTAGGCCAACCATACTCAGTACCCACTGCTATGTGTCAACCTATTACATCACTACTGCAAACTCTTGCAGATCTCTTTAGGCAACCCATCATTACAAACTATCACAACACAATTCATGTAGATTCGATTTTCGGTGATCAATTGATTGCATGTTCTGGCAGAACTCGAAAATCCATTCCCCTTACAAGTCTCTTCAATAATCGGCATAAGAACTTCTGTCCAAGATAATGAATTTATCTAAAATGGTTTTCAAGAATGTTCTTGGATTCTCTGTCCACGGTAGAAGAACTATAAAGTTTATAATAAAAAAACTTGATGGGTTATTGCATTATGTGATTAAATAATACAAAGTAACAAATATCATTTATCAAAATAATCCTTAACAGATATTTCTCTTGAGAGAATTGAACTTGATCTTGGAGATCAGCTAGTAAAAAAAATACATATAGTAGCAACACAAGTCTGTTTGCTAAAAAATATATGTAGAGAATATGGATACGCAAATGATAACAGTGGTTAACAACTAAATTATTCTTATAATTAGTACTAATAAGGGTGCTTAATGAGAGAGTAAGTTTAATATTCTCCTAATGCACCTTGAAAAAAGAAAATGAAGATATGAAATGTAATCAAATTATTTTTCTCATATCAATAATATTTTCTTCATTGAGAAAGAATTTAGGATCTTACCAGACTATAACTTAATTTTCTAAATAACTTAAGTTTGCAATAAGAAGTTATTTGTTTCACATCTCTATGACTTAATCTTAGTATATATTTCACACAAGTAGAAGCCTTGGATCATCATAAATGAAGAAAAAGCTTCATAAACAACTTCACCATTTTTAAAATTTTATATTTCATCATAATTCAAGAGGGCAATGAGAATAATTCCTCACAGCAAACTTCCTATCATGTTTGGCACGCCCAATAGGGGGGTAAATTAGTGCATCGTTTAAAAAATGATTTAAGGCTAGACATGCCAAAGCATAAACATACAAAAAATATAAAACTTCTATGAAATAACATTCTAAGAAAAAAAAATATCCGCTTTTTAATTCTTGTACTAAATCAAAATTTTCTTAAGAATATGCTTTTAAATATCAAAAATAATTTTTCTTTTCCAGAGACAAATAATTCTATAACAAACTTTAACCAATTTCAAGACAATATTAACCTTCAATAATTTTCACATAATGATCACATTATTGACAATAATCTCCACAAATTAAGATTATATAGCAATAAAAATAAAGTGCAAAACAAAAATAAAAAATAAATAAATAAAAAAACGCAAACCAATTTATAGTTGTTTGGCCTACCGACCTACACCCACACCTTAAGTCCTCTCCTAAGGAATTCTACTATCAAGCTCGCCTTCTACTCCTAACAAGGCGGCGTAGTCTCTCACCTTCATGGGTAATAAAGAAACCATTTACACCACTTTTTTATCTCCCTCCTTTAACTTCTAGTCCGGTGAAGATGTCTCTCTCCTTCACAATTAATAGGGAAATCATATCACTTTTTTCCTCTAAGATATACCAAGCCCTATACAAGAAAATCATCAAAAACAGACAAATTTTCCGGCAGCTCTTGGACCGTCATAATTTCTGATGGTCTAGCCTGCGGATTGACCGTCGGTATTAACTGATGGTTTAGCTGCCAGAAATTCTAGCGGTCCAAGAAACGCCGGAAAATTTGCCAGTTCTATGTAAATTCAACACATTTACCGGTGGAATGACAGCCAGTTTCAAGTAAATAAATTCTGGCAGCTGTGGCGGCCGAAAATTCCACCGGTATAAGCCCTATTTCTCCCGACCCATTCTTTCTTCCTCACTTTCACGCGTCTCCATCCCAGAGAAAGCGAGATCTATCATATATGAGGGCTTGAGATTTATAGCAAGATAAGCTATTTGATATTTTGGCAAAAAAATATACAAAGTAATGTCAAATACCGTTTCATGAATGTATTCCATTACATTTTTAGGATAATGCATAATATGCATAATCAAAAAGAAAAATATTTTAGAAGTTACACCTGATAGTTTATAATTTTATAATAATATAGATTCACGGTCTATTCAAACATGATTGAATCAATATGTAAACATTATTATTTCAATTCAATTGTGTAGTGTAGCACTATGTTGTAAATGTTATTATGTTTCAATTCATATCTATTTATATATCCCATATCATAGCTATCCTGATTATTCTCTGAAGTGATATTGTTGTTGGATTATTAACTATGATGGTATAATTATTGAATTGAACTCTAAAGTGTTATACCTGTTAATCGAGTCGAGCTCAATTTTCAAATACCGAGCTCTAACTTGAGTCGAGCTCAAAATTCGAGCTCAAGCTTGACTCGCAACAGTGTAACGAGTTAATCGAGCCACTCAACGAGCCGCTCGATTTTCCAATTTTTATTTCAGCTTCCCGATTTCCAGTCCATTTTTTGTTTTTTTCCGCCAAGTTTCGATAAGCTCGGCTCGTGAGCCTATAAACGAGTCGAGCTCGAGCCGGCTTGGCTCATTTACACCCCTATTTGCTGCTGAGCCACGTAACATAAGATCGGGATTATGTGCTGATGGTTTCACTCCATACCGTCATGCAGCTTCACCACAGTCTTGTTGGTCAGTCATACTAATACCATACAACCTTCCACCAGAGATGTGCATTACTACCCGTACATGTTCTTAACATTTATAATATTAGGACCAGACAATCCAAAAGTAAAAATTGATATTTTTTTGCAACCATTAATTGATGACTTCAAGTTCTTATGTGAAGAAGATGTCCTCACATATGACATCTCAACCAAACAGAATTTTCTTCTTAAAGATGCATTGCTTTGGGTCATTGATGATTTTCTAGCTTACGATATGTTACTGGGTTTGAGCACAGCAAGAAAGTTAGCTTGGCCTTACTGCATGGAGAAAATCAAAATTTTTATACTAAAATATGGAAGAAAAATACTTAATTTGAATGTCATCATATGTTTCTACCTTCTGATCATCCGTTTAGAAGAAACAAAGATGCATTCTTCAGAAATAGAATTGAGATGTCATCTCCTTCACCCAAATTAAGTGGCTATGAAATACTACAGAGAAATTATGACATTTTATCAATTATTGATTTCTCAATATTATTAGAGTGTAATTGTCCTGGATATTGCATTCAACATA